CTAAAGGATTCTATGATTCTAATAACAAACATGTTCAGTTGCATTACTCAGCTGGAATACAGGGAGTGAACAAATGGGTAGTTTGCAGTTCTTACAGCAGAAATAAGAGAGGGTGATGGCATTAAAGTGGTGTGAGGTATATGTGGAGTGGGAGCTTACGCTGTGGAGGTGTAAAAATTTCTGTGGACATAGGAAGGATGTTTTGGTTTTTTTTGTGACTGGGAACTTGAAATTTGAGTAAGAAGCAGTTGAGTCTTGAGTAGTGTATCTTTGTTTTCATTGCACTTACTGTGGCTTAACACTCAGAAGCAGCATTTTACTGAGGTGTATTAATGACGCACAATACAATCTATTTTTTTCCGTTTTACTAATTTCAGAATAACCCATAGAGTATATCAAACACTGTGAAACTAATGCAGGCAGTGTTCAGAAGCAACCTTTTATTTATTTGAATCAAAATGTTATTTTACAAACATATCTAATGACAATGAATAGTCCTTTGTAAAGAAAATTAAAAATATTATTGGAAAAAGTATATTTTAACCTAGGCAAAATTCCTTCTCACCATATTAAGTTCTTACTCACTATAGCTTTTAATATTTCCATTTGAAATACACTATATCAAAGTAATTCTTATCTTTATTAATTGTGAACTTCATTTTAATGTTTGAACTTCAGTTTAATGTCAGGTATAGATCATGAATGCAGGACTTCATCTTTCATTTCAAATGTTGACTATAAAGGCAGAATTAGGAATGTAATTAGGTAGTAAATACTGTACAAAGGCACACAGAGTTCTGCAGTCCTGTGTGGGACTTCTGAGATCTGTTGCAATGCAAATATAAACAAGTGTCAGTGAAAACTGCTGTATATGAAGCGCTTATGAGGAGGTTTAGGCCATACTTTTAAAGAGGAAACAAGATGTATTGTTACCCAACATGTCAGTTCATATGGTAGGCACTTGCCTGTGGCATCCTGAAGAAGGACCTGCCTGCTGCTGGAGCTCAGCTGCATTACCAGCCTTCTGCTCTGTGGCCCTCCAAGGCTTGCTGAGAAGTGTCTGCCGTGATGTGCAGTGAATTTTGGGGGCGAAAGCATCGTGGTGAAGGAGTGAGAGACAGGACTCAAATGATTCATGTGCTCCGTGAGACTTGGCAGGTGTGCACTTTGGCAAGTTCGAAGTGTGAGTATATGCTGAGAATGGCTAATACATGGAAACGTAAACAAGAGTTATTTTAGAGGAGTAGAGTTGGTGGAGAGTCTGCTTACCCCCTTCTCACAAGGTTTTTTAGAGCATATCCTTTAGCTGATTAAAAGAGATTAAAAGCGCTTTCGCTTTTGCAGCAGAATGAAAAGGAGTAATGTCATTTGCTCGTGTAAGATTTACTGAAACTCAGTATCGGCAAAAAAATCAAATGTCTGACCTCAGTATATTTGCTTTATATAGATGACTGTAAAAACAGTCTTTCCTTTTAGTAGTCTAAAGTAAAAAGAAGGCAGGCTGATGTTGTGTAGCTCAAGTCTTTGTTAGTTGCAATTTAATGAAAAGTAAAGGCAGTGGGCACTAGTGGTGGTAAAAGGAGCAAGGAAATGCATCAGGACGGTGGCAGGGCATCTTCACTGAAACTGGGATGTTAGGAGAGGGACTCTAGCTGGGTAGACCAGAGTTGGAAAGGAAAATTAAGGGAGAACTATCTGAACTTTGTTCAGATGATGGCTTCTGTGACCAGCAGGGCAGTGGCATGGGGGCCTGAAGGTAAAGGGAGAATGTGGTGAGCAGACCAGTACAAGAAGCAGTTGAGGCATGTATGTGGAGAGAACTGAGGAGGCTGTGAGCAGAAACCATCAGGTGTGGACAGAACAGAGTGATACTGGATGATGATTCTTATGGGAGAGATTAGTACCAAATAGTTGAGAAGTGTTGGGATGAGGAGTCACAGCAGTAAGCAGGGAAACTGGATTGTGTATTTGTGAGAGGCACGAGAAGGGAGTGTAAGGCAGGCTGTGATATTACACAGATGTCTGATTATTCCTTACAATCCTCCTTTCTCTAGCTTTTGTGGTGGAACAGGAGACTCCTAATGTGGTGTAAAATACCTGGGAAATTGAGCAGGGCATTTCATCAGTGCTGGTCCACAGAGAGACAACAACCTGCAGCACTGGTCCTTTAGTCGGGATGGTGTACTAGCTGTCTGTTCTGTGGACCAAAGTTACTAGCTTTCTTCTGCTGAAGCACTTCTGTATTACTCCAGCGTGCAACAGAATTTCCATAGGGTATTCATTTTTGTTTTTTTTTAAATGAGTGGATTATTTGTATTCTAAAGAATTACAATAATTAAAAATGAAATATAAAAAAAAGATAAATTAAAAAAAAAAATCTTGAATTAAGAATGTGAAACCATAAATGCAGAACAAAGGGAATGACAGAATTACTGATGCCTGCAGAGGTGCCTTGGCATATGGCAGGCTTCCGCTGTGGTCACAAAATACATGTTCTTTAGAGTGGAGTGTTGTTACTTGACACACATTCATTCTTCCCCCCACCCCCCCTTGAGATTTGCTTTGAGGTTGAACACTTTGTTTATTGCATAATATTTAATTTTTTCTCTGATGTTCTTCAACACATAATATTTCACAGTAAGATAGAATTTTTCAAGAGCCTAATAGGATTAGATGGTGCTATCTCTATTTTGCATAATAAAATAATGCATTAAGGGACTAAGAATTTTACTTGAAGTATTGATTTTTGATGTCTGGTTTATTTTGATTCTTCAGAACATTTAATAATTCTAAAAACAGATCTGATTGATTTTATTTACAGATTAAACATTCAGCATTTTTTGGCAGTCAAATACCAGCATATTGAGTTACATGTCAAATATTGAGGAATGTGAAGTTTAAGCTTGGTTGTCAGAAGAGTGATTTTAATTGACTTGTCTCTAGCTCTACGACAGCATGAGGGATGGAGTCCAAGCAGCGTTTTCCTTTATAAGCACAAGACCACCTTTCTCCTTCTCCTTTATTAGCTTATCAGTTGTTTTAAGTATTATAAAAGCTGTTTTTCTGTCTGCTCCGATTTGCTCCCAGAGCATTTCCACGCTCTTTACTAGGTGGTACAGGAGTCCTGTAGTCAAGACTTCACTGAGCATGCTACAAGAATTGCATCAGAATTCCAATGCACCGCAGGATGAATTAAAGTTCAGTATTTATTTCACTTTGCTGCCCGTATAATATTTAAACATAGGGTGGTTTACTGAAATTCTTGTGATGAGAAAGAATAGTAATATAAAAAAATAATGGCCATATCTTCATGTGGTATGGAAGTGTTGCCCAAATGTGCAGTGGGTGTTTCATGAATGCAGGGATTACTTTTCATCTGAGTCTGGGGAGGGAAAAACCAGAACTACTTTGGTTTGTTTGAGAAGGATATTTTATTTCCCTCTCTGATTTTAAAGTTCTTGCTGAAGCATCTTTTGTGGTATTTGTAGCCAAAGATGGCTGGATGGTCTCCACTTGACCTAGATGAGAACAGATTACTTTTTTCTTATTTCCCTCAAGATGAATAGGATCCAGAATATTGTGTCTGTCTATACGATAGTACAGGAATTTGTGGACATGCTTTTCATTCTTGGAAAATGCCAGATTCTTAACTTGTACTTACAGATGTTGGCACTTAACTGTTCATCAGGAAAAACATGTTAAAAATGTTCTGAGGGAGTGAAAACTAAATCTTAACTGTAAAAACTGAGAAGGGTACTTGTGGTTAAATTTTTTTTTTTCACATCACCTTTACGAGTGCCCTGTGGTTCAGCTACTGTCGTTGTCGACTACAGTGGCTTGCCCCTGGTTTCCTCCAGAGGGCTGGCAGGAACTGCAACAAAGATTTTTTTGTGCTGTTTTACCAGTTGTAGGTGGGTGGAGAGATTTCTTTTCTGCCTCCTCTCAATTAAATTAGTCTTCAAGCTACTATGCGTTGCTGTTTGTCAGTTATTTCTTCTTTGTTTTGAGAAATACTGTTTATTTTGGGAGGAGTGTTCTCTCACACCTCCTTTCTGGAGTTTTTTGAAACCTCGAGTTATGGTCTGTCTTAACTCAAAAATGCTATTTACACATTTCATAATCACAGCTGATAGAAGTCAGTGGAAAATAAATACTTTGGGTTTGGACTGAGCCTGTAAAATGAAAACACTTGTTAACTTCCAGGAATTTAGCAGAAATTTCAAAACTGGAGAATGGTTTTAAAAACAAAGCTATAGATGTATTATTCTGTTTTGTTCTTTTCTACAATTTTTTTTCAATTATTTTTTCAAAGAGTGTTGCAAAGACTCAAAGAGCCTTCTGGTATTCAGTTGACAGCATCTTAGGTTATGTGTTTTTTCTCCTTTGCATGGGAAAGTTCTGTGTATTTTTATAATGATTTTTAACTAGTGAAGGAAAGCAGGCTTTGTCTTAAAAAGGCAGGCAGCTATTTTACCAGGAAGGTGCTTTTCTTTTCCCATCTGTTGCCTTCAAAATGAGTCATCACCATTGCTGTTGACAGTTCTGGTGGATACAGCTTTTAATTTCTGTATCTTTGGTTTGACATGGTATTTTACATTGAACAATGCCATGGGCAGAGGGCTGGGTGTGCTGCATGGTAACTGGATCAACAAGGAAGCATGTTTTAATTCCTTTGGGAAGTAAGACAAGGGTGTCTTACTGAGGCCTGCCAGTCAAGGATACAGTCTTCCACCTGAGCAGAGTTAGCCATCCTGTTTATCCAAAAAGCAGCTGTGCCATCAGTGACACACCAAGAGGAATTCCTAAAAGCTGTCCTGTTCTGTTTTCTATTTAAATGAGTCATGGGGACTCATTTTCAATTGCTGCTGCAAGTCTACATCATTATCTTTAAACAGTCAACATGATCTTCATCTCAGTTGAGTTTAATTTCAGCCTATGCCTACAGCAGTTCTGGTTCTCTGCTTTGCTGGGGAGGGAAGGTGGCAGTAGCAGGTGAGGGAGGAGGAAGGAGCTCATCACTAGCTCTTCCCCTCAAGGCTAACAGGTTAGCCCTGAAAAATCTGAATTTCAGGGCTAGTTCTGCCCAAGCTCTGCAGACAGAAGCTGGGAGCTGGACAGAGAGAGAGAGAGTGAGAGAGACAGCAAGGCAGGAGTGTGGGATTAACGTGGCAAATAAAGCATCCAGTACTGCTGTTTTGCTATTTTGATGGGTTTTGGTATCACATGTATAATCTCAGTCCTAAATGGTATTGGGTTATCAACCGTGTCACTGTCCTCCCTGTGTCAGCTCTTCAGGAGGTGGACTTTTATCTCTCAGAGTTTAAAAATTAAACCCTTTGATATTAAACATGGTTTAAGTAATGCTAGTGATTACTTCCCCCATGCCCCAAATATGATAAACAGCTTGGTGAAGCTCAGTGTCACTACTGCAGAACCCATTGTTTTGCCTCTTCTGCTTAGTTCTTGTAGTTGTAATAAAATCCTCCTTTTTCAGGGCCGGGGGCAGAACGTGCGCTCCTCTGTGCGCCTGGCACGGCAGCTGGAGTCCTGCTGGCTGTTTTTCCTATGTGCTTAACAGGTTACTTCAGGTGAAGTTCTAGACAAATTTCAACTGGAAAAAAACACCAAAATTTCAAACACTTGTAGAATTCTCCTTTTACTAATTTTTATGGTTTGAATGTATTATAAACATAAATGAAATGAATGGCTGGAACATAAAATGTCTGGGAAGACCCACAGAGATTTAAATAATTTGAAGGAATAGTAATGACAGGTTCACCTTGTTTGGAAAAACCGCTTAGCTCCCCACTTCAGTACAGTGGTTATCCCCGAGGGTGAACTGGGAGATTGGTTTTTCTTGCCATCTGTCATTGATTGAGTAAGTGCAAGGAATCTTGCCAGGAGAGTGGTGGTGCAGTTTTCCCAGGCAGGATGAGATGAGAGGTGTTGGCCAGGTGGGGTGGCCAGTGTTTTTGTAGATAAGGTCTTACCTATCCATCTCTTCCAAAGTGATTGATAGCAGCTTAGAATAGAGTAGCCTCCTCCATAAACTCTACATATGACTTGTCAGCTTGTGGCCATAGAGAACATACTGGCAAATTTGAAAGTTTTATCCTGCTGACTTGAAAGTGCAGGAGGAGCCAGGGACCATGCTGCCCATGCTTACCCTCTTTTGGATGAGGAAGAATTTGATTTGGCACAGCAAAGTACTGTTCTCTAATCCGTATCACGCACGACTAGCACTTCGAAAAGGGATGGTTGTGTGGAAAAAATCAGCTACTCCTCTGTGTATGTCTGTAGGCTGAGTGAAGTACTAAAGGAAACGCCCATACTGCCTTTTGCTCTCAAAGCTGCAAAGATAGTGTGTCACTATGGTGTCAACGATCAAAGAAACTACAGCTCCTTCTGAAAAAGAGAGTGGTGTTTTCTGTAACTTCATGATCATTCCATTTAGGAGGATGGGAACGTGAACATGGGAGGGCTGCGTACCTGTATGTTTTAACAGACCTGCAGTGCAGGCACCCCTTTGAGCACTTGGCATTTTAAAAACTGCTCCCTGACCTTACGGCTTGCTGTCTTTAACAGCTCATATGACATTGCCAAACTAGTTGCAAAAAGTCTGCCTGTTAACCTCATAGTCTGGAAAGCTGGATGTCCAAAACGGCTGTCTGAAGATACGCCTTCCAAGACCCTTGGCCAGGCCAAGTTTTTTGTACTTAAGATTATTGTTGCCACAAGAACAGCAGATGTTTGCACAGCAGACAAACAACACTGATGATAAAGCAAATTGACCTTTTTTGGAACAAGCTATTTGGAGCACATTCCTATGGCAATTACTCTTTTTTTTTTTTTTTTTCCCCTTTTCTCTCTTGTTTCTTCCTTTTCTTTTCTTGGACTGTATCTTTCTTCATAAAATCACTTGGCCATACGTTGACATGTCTGTTGCTGGAGATTATAAAAAAAAAAAAAATTAAAAAGAAGAGTTTACAAACTTTTCCACTAACACTGATACTACAAATCATTAAATCTAATCCAAACCTATTTTTGTGGGATGTATTTTACTGGAGTAGTTAGAATGATGTTTATTTTTTCTAGTGTCCCTATGGGAACCCTGGAAGATTCCAAAATGTAATAATTAAAGAATGACAGGCCCTTCCTTACAATATAAAGCAAGGAAGAGTTCTGTGGTTTAAACAACTATGCTGTTGCTTGTTAATAAGATATTTTGCCTTGTACTCTAGCCAGGCCTATAATGGTCAAAAATGTTGAACTCAAGAACTACACGTTTGTTTTCAATCAATTTTTTTTTTTCCCCCCAACTTAAAAGGCTTTAATGGCTTGTTTTAATTTGTTCAGTAGTATTCATCAGTAAACGTTAGTATTAAATGTTAGTATTATCACTTAGTATAGTACAGCTGAGGGTGTGCCAGTAAGGCAGTACATTTTGTGATTTGTTTTTTGTAATGCGAGACCTCTATTTTGAGGTATAAAAAATTAATTGAAAATCAGGGGATTCTCTGTGAACTTGAGCAATATATTTCTGTTTAAATTACATTTTAAAAGTATTTTAAATGGAAAATTAAACTGGTATTTTAACTGTATTATTAAATATTTTGAGGAAAATTATAAATTTAAAATATCAGTTAAGTGAAAAATCTCAGTTTTGCATGACTGCATCTTTACTATTTGGACCTAAACCCTATTTTTTTTAATCCTAAGATGATCCTTCTGTAGTTATAGCAAATACAGGTCTTGGCAGAGAATTTATTCCTGGCATCTGAGGAGTCTTAGGAGAAGGGACTAAGTTGAGACTTTGGAAGCTCTGAGATTTTTAAGAGATTCCATCCATTGTACCACTAAAATGAGTGGAGAGGTATTGTGTAGCTTAGCAGGAGAAGAGTAAGACCCTGCATTTTTGTGCTTTTCTGGTGTGATTTACAATGCTAACTTAAGAACTAGGATAATGTAGTTTTGTGGGTTTTTTTAGGTATTACAAATACAGGTAGCTTGTGTCTTAACTCAGTTTATGAAGTTGCTTGGCTGAATAGTAGGCAGTAAGCTTTTGCACAAGGATTTTGTATTGTCTTGAAGGGGTTCAAAATTCTAAATTGAAAGATGAGTTATCTGTAGCAGTGTTAAGAGTTTGGGGTTCTTTATCAGGATTAGCTCTTCAACATTAGAAAGACAATAATCTAAAATCTAGGAGAACCCAAACTGGATTTCTTACTTGTGTCTAGATGTAATTTGGTTGTTGTGTAGGAGTCATTTGCTTTTGGAGCTTCCCGTTTCTGTTTAGAAACATTATTCTGAATAAGTTGTTCTGCCATATGATGCCTGTTACAAGTCTTTACTGTGAATAAAAATGTACTAGCTCCATCAGCCTCTCAGTATAGTTAGAAGTGGGCGTAGGTGGGTCCCTGTACTGTGAAAAAGCAGAAGCTAAAAAGGTTTTTGTGGGCCTTTACGGTGTACTATTTTTGTTTCTTTCTTGTTCCTGGTATGTGATGATCACTGCCTTGTCTGCTAGAAAAATACTATCCCTGTTTAATAAATGTGAGACTGTGGGTGAGGTGTCTGAAGTTGCTTGTTCAGGGTCGTTGAGAAAGACCCCCTTTGAGCCAGAAATTGAATATAACATTTTCTAAGACCCAGTCCTATATGCGTGGGATTATGCAACCTTCTTCCATGGGCAACTTTGATAAACTATATTTAATGGAGCTTCTGTTTTAGTGATAGATTTAATTTGTGTTAAGTATTAAACATGATTTTAAAATACTTATTTTTACAAGAATTCCTTTTCTTGCTTAATTAAAGTTTTGGGGGTTCCCTTATGCCCTCTTTTTTTTTTTTTTTTTTTTTTTGAGGTAGAGTTAACAGTAGCTTGGGTGCTTTATGTTCATGCAGAGAACATGTGTTATATGGAACTGGACTGATCAGTTGTAGTGCTAAATGGAGCTGAAAGAGGGGAACAATCCTGTTGCACTTTCATTGCAAAGAACACTGGGGTTGACTGGCTGGAATACACCACCTTATTTTGCTTACTACTTTAAAATATAGTATAAAAGATGGGAAAAAGGAAATGAAAATTAATTTTATAGATGTGGAGGTGTTCCACTGAATGTATTAATAATGTCTTGAGTACAGCTGTTCTCACTTTCAGAAGCCAGGAATTGACTAAGTGTCCACCATCTTCAAGAAGTAGTCTCCAGAAATACTGCTTTATACGTCATGTGGGCCAATATTGCCCCTCCAGTTGTCATTCATCAGAATTTAAATTTTTCATTTAACACAATACTGTTTGGTAGAGAAATTAATGTTCTCCAAAGGAAACTCCATGTTATATTGTACTTTGCTTTTACAACCACAGTTCAGAACGTAGAACATAGATGCAGTGGATGTCTGTGAACTCAACAGACTGGAGAAAAGTATAGTCAGCTTGACTCTTGGGGTTTTTTTGATTCTTTTAAAACTTTTTGCCACAGCAGTTCTGGCTTAGTTCTTACTGGTCCTTACTTCTAGCTTTAAACATCTTTATACTACATTAGGCAATATAAGCAAACCAGTCTTTTCTCTTCAGGGCTCTGATAGCATCTATTTTATGTTACTGTTACCTTGTTGTTTGTTGGTTTTTGTTTGTTTGTTTTGATGTAAGTTTTTTTTAATGTTTCATATTTTCCTTTGTTTCAGCCAAACCTTTTACATCTAAAGTGAAACAGATGCGACTACATAAAGAAGATTTTGAAATCCTGAAGGTGATTGGTCGAGGAGCCTTTGGGGAGGTATGTATGCGAAGGAGATGGAAGGAAGAATTTGAATAATGCTTTTGAAAATCTACAGCACTGAGAAGAGACAGTAGCAATATACTGACGTCCAGGTTTTTACATTATTTAGGCATAATGGACATTGTAGGTTCACCTAATATTTGGTGCAAGTACATTTTGATTTATACATTTTTTGACAGGTCTTTCTAAGTCTTTTAAATTTTGAGAGAAGGCAAGTTCACGTGGATTAAAAGACCATGTTTCAACTGTCTGTTGATAAATCATTTGCTTGACTGTAATTCCTTCCAGTGAGCAGATGGAGGCCAATAAGTTACTGATTGTATAAATATCTAGCCATTTCTAATCATCCTAATTACTAAATAGTCTGAAAATAGTTTTCAGCAATGTAAATATTGATACTGACATTCTAAGAACACAGAGAAATCTCACTATTCCTGTCACTTCGTTTTCTATTTTTGATGAATGTTTGGATATTTTTCCTAAATTTCTTTTAAAGAGTTTAGCAAATGTTAGTTTCTTTTTCAGTGGTCACCTACTGCTTTTGAACTATACAGTTATTTGCTGCTTCTGATTAAGCCATCTGTTACTTGAAGTCATCAAACAAGGCTTTTGATCATGAGGTTTTACACTAAGCATGTCACATTATATAGGCTGATAAAACTTGAATAAATAGATGCTAGCATTCTGCCCCTTCTTAATTTACATTAAGTGCATGCGCTTTTTTCTTCATGCGGGGCACTATACATATAGAAAGAGCAACCTAATGTACAACAGAACCTTGAATTTTTGATAGCCCAGTGCCCTACAGATGGGGATAATACAGAGAGCTTCAGCAGAAGGTACTCTGTCCTGACTGAAAATACTTGTGAACTGAAACCTCAAGTATAATAAAAAAATTTTTCTAAGCAATGTCTTCATTGCATTTTGAGCTGGAAATCTGGTTTGGTTTGGGTTGGTTTGCCATCTCTCTTTGGTATGAGCATCTCTAGAGCCTCTGGTATGTGACAGAGAAGAGTTAGTTTCACGTTCACTTACATGTTTTCATCATGTGAAAATGAGTCCTTACTAGTCTGTGATCATGGAAGAATAGATTTCTGTAGGTAGCATGTAAGGAACAGGAATTTTTACCACATGCTACATACTCCCTACCTACATGAAAATATCGTCATTGGGAAACTGTAAAAATAACAATATGAGTAGTATTTATTCAGCTACTTAATTGCTTTTGGTTAGTTGTGCTGTATTTGGAATAATGCTTCTTTATAAAAGGAGGCTGAAGGCTTAAGTTACTCATGGATAATTTATTTTTAGTCTGAACCTCTGCCACAAAGAGAATGTTGCATTCTCCATTTTGATGTAAACACTTCTGCTTAAAACATCAGCTTTTCTCAGTGCTGCCATAGTAGTTGCAGCTAAGTTCACCTACAGATTGTGTAAGATGTGAAAAAAAAAATCAGTCATGGGTGCTTTCTTGTCAGAATAATCATATGTGAAACCTGCCTTATATTGTGTTTTTAAGATAAAAAGTTTTAAAGCGTCTTTTTTGTCTGCTAGATTGGCATCAAGCTCCAGAGCAGCTAAACCACAAAACCTCTGTCGTTCTTTCTCAGGAAGCTTCTTTGTGGTGAATCATCCCATGAATAGTGAGAACGTAACTTTCCCCATCCACTTCTGGGGACAGTCTGTGTAATTGGTTAGTTCTCCTCATTTAGGGACAGTGTTTCTTTCTAATTCCTTATCTGAGAAAGATAGTGTGACTCCCATTAACTGTCAAAATCTTCAGGAAGAGAAGAAGTGAGGTTCTCTCACTGAAAACATTTGAATTTGTATGTTCTTAAATTGGAACATATAATCTTGAAAATATTTGGTGTTAAATTTTCTTACTGACTTAAAGAAGACAAGTTTCAAGTCCTACACAGACGTTTGCCTAAGAAAACAAGTTCTGCATGAAATCACTAATTTTCCTTCAAAATAACCAGTAAATATCTGAGCAAGGTTGAAAAAGGGACCACCAAATTTTACTGCTACTTGAGCCACCAAAAACTATATTAATATTTAATTGCAACGTACTTGTGTGATTCAGTACTCTGATAGTTTACTGAGACAGATGAAGAAATCTGGAAGAATGTATTTTCTTTCCAGCAAACCATAATGAGACCAAGGTTGCTCTAAGTTACTGGGAGGAGTAAGTTTTGTCTCCTGAATCAAGATAATTCTGAAATTCTGTAAACTACAAAGTTAGTGCAAATTTTCTTTGGCACAATCTCAGAGTTGTTCTTACTTTGATTTTACAATACTCAGTTTCTTCAGTTTGCATAGTCAAGAAATATTTCCCTTTTTGTTTTTACAAGTTTGATGTAGACAAAGTAGCTTAAACTAGTTATTTCTTATAACAGTTAATTGTTCCTAGTTTTCTTTTTCCCTTTACCCTGCTTGCTGCCAGTCCGAGAACACTTCCTTTTTGTCTAATTAATGACATACCCCTTCCCTCTGCATGCTACATTTACTTATTTAAAATTTTATGTAAGAGGGTGCTGTCTTTAGAAACACAGATGTTTTGCTTGGAGCAGGAGGATTATCCTGGTAAAATAATAATGTGGGCATCAAGTGTTTCATTGAGCTGGCTTCAGGCAGCGTGGTTTGAAAAACTTAACTCTAAACAAGAAGTCTTTAAACTTGGGACTTGAAGAATGCTGCTGGTAAAGGTGAAGCAAGTGGGCAAGAGCTCTTCCTGGGGTTTCTCAGCAGTACATAAAAGTGCAGCTTATCAAAAGTTCTAGCTAAGACCAGAATTTTCTGTTCATTCTCTTTTTGCTTAAAAAAAAAAAAAAATTGGTGCTTGCTTTATGCCAGCCACTACTCTCATTATGTTGTTGATGTTCTGAAGATGATGCATTTTGTAGCTCAGAGAACTAGTTACTCCTAGATTTTGGTGTCCAATTATGGATGGTAGCATTCTCTCTTCTTTTTTCTGGATGACTGCCTACTCATGATGAACAAGTAAACAAGTGCTGAGTTTGTGGGGTTTTGTTTGTTTTGGTTTTAATTTTAGTTTAATTTTTAAAATATATGTATTTTAAAATTTTTCATGTGAATTCTTATAGCTTCTCTTAGCTTCTGGTTTTCCTGCATGAGGCTGCTAGTTTTTAAGCAATGGAAATATGCAGACATGTACAGTAGAGACAAGTAGCTGAGTTTGGGGCAGAAGGTGTTTGACAGCGTGCCAGACTGTACTGCTGTTTGTGGGAAATATGGAAAACTGTTGGAAGAATGTGGAAAAAAAAACCTATCTGACTAAACCAAGATGTTTACATCAGTACATACCAAGCATTTTTTTGTCAGACTGCTCACAGGAAAATATAAATTTTAAGAAAACCCCAAACTCTAAAAGTACAATTTGAAGGAATTCCAGTAGCAAGACATTTCAGGATAGCTAGACAGGTATGACTGCTCGTTCTTCTGTCTTGACTGCTTCACCGGGGAAGGGAGAAGATCAAAACAGCACTCTGTGTGTATTTGGGCCTTTGTGTACATATTATATACCTCTGTGTGTGTATGTAAACACTGCCTGGGTCTGTAATTACGTTTCAGAATTCTTTGATACAATTAGAAACTGCATCAGACTACTTATTGCTCAAGTGTCAGTGTTTTTTTCTTTTTTTTTTCACAGTCCATTTTAGAATTTATTTTCATAAATCACCAAGAGACCCCCAAAAAGATGCTGTGATTGCGGAAAAACGTCCTGATCTTTTTGTGTGTGTGTGGAGATTATTGACATGGAATAATGTTCATGGCTTTCACAGACTAAAACACTGCTTCTGATGCATTGTAAACACAGCTGGTAAACATGAGTCTATTTTTATTCTTTAGTCACTCTTCAATACTATTACACCTTCATGGAAGGTACCAAGTCCTTGATAGTGTCGTGGAGCTCTGTGCTCCAACTGCTAACCAGAGGCAGAGCTGTAGCTATTTTGGTTGTGTCCATGAGAACGCTGTAGAGGAGACTACAAATTTAGGCAGCTGTGCAATTACCGTATGTCTTTCAATACCCAAGTCTTTTCCAGAATAAAACAGCCTTTCACTGAGCATGCTATGGGCAAGACATGAAATCCTCAACTTGGACTTGAAATACATGTGTTATGCCTTTGGTTGCCTAGACAATGGTGGGGAAAAACGTATTTTTTACACTGGGCAGCAGCAGCAGCAATCTAGTCAGCTGTAGGACCAGCCTTTCAATATTCCCCTACAACAGCCTCAAAAGCCCTTAAAGGTTTTCAGACTACATCACGTAGAGGGGTTCCCATTACCCAGAATATGATACAGTTTGAGTGCTGATTAGCTTAATTGTTAAGGCTTTGCCATCTAACCATGTCTCATTTGAACTCAATACAGATATGACCTCCCAGAGTTTCAAGCTAGTTTTAGGTAGTAAAGTAAAAGGAGACTGAAGATTCAAAGCTGCATTATGGGTTGTGCATCATTGCAGAGGATTCATCGTTCCCTCCTAAAGAAAATAGTGATGCTCAGACTTGGGGTACCATGCACAGGAGAGCAGATATGCTTTAAGAATTTAAATTAGGTTATAGTCTAAAGTAATAATCTATTTTTGTGTTTGATATCTGGAAAAAGTACCTTGAGGGATCCCAAGTCTGAACTTGAGCCTCAATTTTTATGCATGAAGTAACCTTTAAAAATTTCAGTTCATAAACTAGTTTAAACAAGTAAATATAGCACCTTTGTCTTCTCTCCTTTTTTTTTTTTATTTCCCCTCCAAACTCCCACCCCCTTGCAACCCCAGAAGGCAGCGGTGTCAAGAGCAGGGCTGATAATGTGTTGCTGCACATATGGGAGGTGACAGCTGCTTCATCTATGAATCCATAGCTGAGCACTTTTAGATGTGCTTTGGTTTAGACATCTGAGTATCACAGTCCCTCAGCTTGTGCTTTTGCTCTGTTTGTGAAGCTCCTGCAGCTGATGACACTTTTGAGGATGGGTGGAAGAGGTTAGCATGATGCTTTCTTCAAAGTGTCTGATCCTGTATTTTCTTTTCTGTTCTCACTGTCTTCACACATTTTACTGATTATGAAAGAGGTGGAAGGAATGTAGGATTCAACCTTAGTATTTTTTTGTCACTGGCATGCAGGATGAAGGTGATGATAATCTGTGTGACAGCATGTTGGTTTGTAGCCAGATGCACACAGAAATAAACTTTTATCTCCTTAAGCCTTAGATTTATTTGAAAGGGAAGAGGCAGAACAGGTTAGTTGGAGAAAAGTTGTTAAAATGTCTTGATTGTTAAAACTTCCCTGTAGCTGGGATGGTTGTGTTGTGTTTTGGTCTAGATCAGCACCTCTGAATCTGTGGCAGATTCATGGCCATTTTGGGTAGGACACTGAGTTTTCCATACTGATGGAAACCTGAACTGTGAAAACATGTTTGTGTAAACTTCTTCCCTCCTTCTTTCCTAAAAATACTACACGTTACCATTTATTACAGCTAAACAAAACTAGAATGTTCTCAGAAAAGGACTGTGTTGGATGGCTTTGTTAATTTATTATTATGTGGGTCTGTGGTATCTAATGTTTCAAAAGCAATGAGAGGGAGAGGGGGTTTCTGTTTCCTAGGCCTTGCTTCTCTATCTCAGTGTTTCCCTGCCAGATTACAGACATGATAAAGAGCTCATTGCACTTCAGGTGGTAAAGCATACTTTACTATGTCATTGGAAAAAAGTTTAGTGTGTTATTTGAAATGAGAGTGCAAGTTGTTCTATGCCAAACCTGCAATCTAATTTGTGTTTCTCAGCAGTTCTGTAACGTAAAATATTGTGTAAGACTGAAGTCCAGGTATACAAAACATGAAGCTAGTGACAGCTTCATGATGGTATGAGAGAGCAAGAAGTGTGATGATGAAAAATATCATTGTTTGCCTCCAGCCACCTAGAAAAAATGATGCATAATCAAACTGTGATACACAATCAAAGCGTGAAATAGACTTGAAACTTTCACAGAATACCCTGTACTGTTGTGATACTACCTTTTCTCTAATGGCAATGGTATGGTATTGTGCGGATAGTAAAGCTAGGTGTCCAGAACACTGAAGAAGAAAACCTTCAGAACAGCAAGGTTTCAGAAGAAGGAAAACAATATGCATTTTCATCTTTTAACTTACTTATCTTTTCATTTATCTTTTCCAGGTTGCAGTAGTAAAGCTGAAGAATGCAGATAAGGTTTTTGCCATGAAGATACTGAATAAGTGGGAGATGCTGAAGAGAGCTGAGGTAAGATTGCAGTAATGTTCTCTATAATCATGCAGCCTCTTATTCTGCTGAATTGTCTCTTTCAACAGGACTGTGTAGAGAGGGATTGAGGAGGTACTTCACCACTTAGTGACAATATGAAAATTAATATTTAAATAAGCTTAAAGCAGTTCATCAGAAGGGTTAACATGGCAGGAGTTGGACTTAGACATTATACTTCCTCTGTAATTGTCCAAGAACTGCCAACTATACAAGCAATCTTTTAATGCATTTGTTCCAGTTAGGAATATAGTGTTCAGTAAGTATTTTCCGTGGTGAAAGGTAATTGCTTGGGTATAAAGTGGTAGTTAAAGAGCTATAACTCACCAAACCTATTAGTTTTTCAGTAGTTAGAACTTAGTCAAGGTCCAATTTGTAGACTCAAAAAATCAAGAAGGATAAAAATTTCAAATGAATTTGAGTGCATGTTTCATAAAAATGTCCATCTGCAAAAATTGGTGATGAAAAGTTCCTTTTCAAAGCATGAGCCCATTCTGTCTGCTGAAAAAGGTAAACAGCTCTTTCACCAGCCCTGCTTTGCCTTGGGTTCCTACTGCCACTGTACAACTCTACTCTTCGTAAAATCCTTGATAGGTTTCCCTGGATTCCTTTGGGGGAAAAAAAAAGGTACAAAGGGCTGTCTACACCTGAAGACTTGTCTATTAATTTTAAGCTGAACATCATGTATCTAACTCTTTATTTGCTTTGAAATTCTTCATCTATGCATACTGGAAATAAACTGCCTAAAAATAGTCATAAAAATATAACTCAGTGTCTTAGGTGTACAAAGTTTATTTGGTCACTGGATTTTCCTTGGTTTGGACAGTGCAAGAACTATCTTGGTGTCTACTATCAAGTGTCAACTTGTCTGAATTATCTCTAACTTGTTATTTGAGACTCCTACTTCACTACTCACAGACTGCCTTACTGTTCAGTGCTTCCATGTTTATTCTGATTTCTGCATTTATGTTTTAATTATATCTTAGGAAGTGGGATGTATGGGAAGCCGTCAAAGTTTTTTTTTAAAAAATGTAGCTAGGCAAATTAAAGCCAATTTCTGATGTGTGCACATCCTGTCTATTTTAATGAAAATGTTATCGCATTAAGAGTATAAATGGCATGCAGATTGTGGTTAGACTTACACAATGTGTTTCCTCTTTATCCAAAAATTATTCAGATACCGAGCAATCTGGCATTAGTCTCGATGCAAGAGGTATTTCTTTCCAAGACAGATGTCATTACTCTAAGCTTTATTCTTTTACTGAAAAAGACCAGAAATAAAGTTCTACTCTATTTTTAAATGTGCCCTTTTAAAGTCAGTTTAAAAGCTATTTCTTTCCATTAAAATACAGTTATAAATAGGTTTGAAGGTTTTTTCTTTATGCAAGGTATTAAAAATACTCTTCCCATAGGTCCAGACGAATTTCTGAAGGTCTGAACTGTTAGCCTAAAAGGAATTACAGCTATGTTTTTCCATGTATTTGTAACCCGTGGGTATACAGTGAAAAAAGAACCATCTGGCGTGAAAATGCATTACCAAGCATGACCTTCAGCAACTGTAACCTGTCATTTTTAAATGTTGTTACTACTGCTAGGGAAAATGACCCACTTTGGTTCTGTTAGCCATGTGCTGCACTATCACTGAAATACACAGGAAAATCATACAGTCCAGAAGTGCAATACAGGGAGAGAGATAGGTGCATATGTAAATGGCAGAAATCAGTTGTTCATGTATCCCTTTATCAACTCTGTGGGAGGTGGGAGTTTATTCTAAAAGTGGAAAGGAACCATGAATTCAGAAGAGGCTTGTGAATGCCACATTAAGGTTCATGACTGGAAGATCTGGAAGTAGTTTTGCTACAGTGAAATTTTAGAGGTTTTGAGGTCAGCGATCTCTTTTGTATTAAAAAAGCGTAAGATTACCAAATTAGTTGCCACTGTTGAAAACTCTCAAGAGATGTGACATGGAACTGGGGACATTACTGACACAAGGAGTACCTGAAAGTGTGTGACAGCTTGCTCTTACACTCCCAGAACTGTTACCCTGAGTGTTGACAATCACTTGCAGTTACGTGTGTGCCATGGTGCTGCCAGATGAAATGCAGGAGAGACCAGGACAAATATTACACAACATGGAAGTGGTCATCACTCCCAGAAGGTGCTAACTCTGACCTGTGAGGACACGAGCACTGAATAGCCCAGCAGCCTGAATTCTTTGTCTGTTGAAGGCCATGATAAAAGTATAGATATAACCAAAGCACTAAGTTGGCTTTGCTGTGACAGAGAGTTGGATCAGATGAGCTCTGGAGGTCTCTGCTAACTATTCAAGGAGACTGTGCTTAGGGAAGATGATGTGTAATCCTGAAATAATGACAGGCGCAAACTTAATTGAACTACGTTACAGTAATTAGAAAAACCACAGCTTCTATCTTCCTTTTTTTTTTTCCCAATGAATTAATATAAAACTCATGGACCATTGAGACTCTTTGGCTGTTACTGTCTCAGCTGTGATCTGCTCTGGTAATAGCTGTTGCTGTCAGCTCCAGGCATCCTGCCCAGACACCGCTGGGTGTCTAGAGCACCCAAGGAATGCACGGTCTTTTGTTAAATCATGGCAAAAAGAAATGGAATTAGTTAAACTCTCCAGCAAGTAATCCTGTGAATTGTGTCATAACAAGTAGAGACACTACATGTCATATATCCTTGTGAAAATGAGTTCATAGTATCTCTCTGAAATGTGTTGAGTTTACAAGCAAGGAAGGAAAAAAAAGGGAAGTTGAAGCATAGAACAGCTTTTCTTCCTTCTGAAAGATTGTCCATTCTCCTTCCACCTCCAAGTCTATTTTTCATTTAATAACCTTTGAGGATATTTGCTGAAGTATGTTTTGCTGGTTTCTCAAATTTCACTGATTTATCTCATACATTGTGGTATGATTAAACTATACTATTTTTCTTTATCCTGGTCTGCATTATTCTTACTGTGTTCTCCCAAAATAAGACTTGCCATGGTTTATTTGCTTGGAAGAGGGAGTTATTTTCTGCTCTGTTTTTACTGCATGTATCTTTGTGCATAGTTTGGTCTAGAATGATATTTTGCTTTTCATTCTTCACCCTCCAAATCTCACAGCCAACAATAACCATGTCAGAGTTCTGGTATTTGCCTATTGTTTTTGGAAATGAAGTTTAAAAAAGTAAAAAGAAAAGGTTTGGATTTCCTTTAAATTCAGCTGTCTCCTAAGGTGGAAGAGACAGAGCATGATTCAAATCGATGAGACATCTTTGAAGTAGCAGAGTGTGCTGGAAGAGATTGTGGTCTATGTAGCTCTCCATCTGCCTTCTAAATGGAGCCCATACAACTATATGTTTTGGGGGTTTTTTTGGTTTTTTTTTTTTACACTATCTTTTAGACCTTTTTATGAACAAAATTTGTGTTGGCTTTGCTGTTTGGTACCTTTTGGTTCTTCGTGATATTCACTTTAGAACTCAGTCCCTTCAAAACATTTGTCATATTTCTTTGCTATAGTTTCTTTTTGGCTTCTCATCTGTTTGACCATTATCCTCTGTCATGCTGTAAAGCTGCTTTTGCTGAGGTATTTTTCTCACTTGTTGGGGCAGGTTGCAAGGCCTCCATTGAGTTAACTGCATTGCTGCTTTCCAGCTGGTTGTTTACTTCACATTTTATCTTTTTATGTTCTTTTGTTTCATATGAACCTGTGTTCTCCTTAGATATTCCTTAGCATTTCTTGGCAGTCCTTGTACTTCCTCTGTTCCACTTGCTGTGAAAGCACCTTTTGCCCCCTGTTTTTTTTCCAGTATATTGAGGAGAGGTTATCCTGTATGTCTTATTAACAGCTTATAGCTGGGAAAAGCAATGTTCAATTCTGTCCTACTTTTCCTGAGCAAAAGCGTGGAGAGAACCCCCAACTGATTACTGATTATCAAATTTTGACTACATGGAAGTTACTGACAGCTACTTTGAAATGAAACAAAGAATCTTTTTTTATGTGAAACTTCAAGTGTAAAACTAAGCGAACATCGTGATGAGATAAAACACTGATGCAAAATTTTGGATTCTAATTCTTTAACTCCTATTGCAGTTACAGTTATGTCATGCCATTATTGATTGTTTTCTTCAATCCTATGTTGCTATTCTATAGTCTTTTATACTTGATTTCCATATGTATAAAACCTGCACTTGCAAAATGTGTTTTTTTGTGTTTTACCTAAAGTCTATAACTCTTCTTCTTCCCTTCAGACAGCCTGTTTTCGAGAAGAGAGAGATGTGTTAGTGAATGGAGATAACCAGTGGATCACAACATTACATTATGCATTCCAGGATGAAAACTATTTAGTGAGTGTTGTTTTTATGTGTATATGGGTGGAAATGCAGATTCTTAGTTGTAGCCTAAGACAGCAATATAGTATGTTTATGTGTTAGTTTTGTGTTCTGGACCTTACAGACCACGTGAGGATCTGTGATTTTGTGCGTAAGATTCTGAAGGGCAGGGAGTGGTCAGAAACTTTTGAAGCTTAGCTCAAATATCTCAGGAATGCAGCTTTGTTTCCTAAACCACTTTGCATTTGTTGATAAACAGATCTGTGTCGTCTTTCTTATAGCTCATCACTCCAGTTTAATTGGATTCACAAAAACAGAAGTGCATGTGCTAACATAAATTTTCTATATGACTTTAAACAGCATTGTAAATCACAAAAATTACTGTTTTACAGTTAGAAATAGGGAGTAACCCTATTTTGAAACAACAGTTCATTTTGATCAGTCTTTGCTTTTTTGAGCACTTAAACCCACTCAGGTGCCATAAAGCAATGTGATCTTCCTGCAGCAGGGAAGAATGCCACTAAATGTTCATAAATAAAGAGTTGGAATCTGTAACTGTAGATTAAAGAGTCCTTTTAATAGTTAATATTATTTAGTTTTCAAGTGTTTTGAAAGGCCAACAAAAAGAAGCAAATACGAGGAAAAGGTTCCAATTTTCTATTAAGTTGTTCCCCCTTAAAGTATATTTTGATGGTGTTGGAGTTTTGGTAATATTTATGCCTGAAAAAATAACGACAATAAAAAACTCAAACAAACAAACAAAAAAAACAAATACACAGATTTTACTTATTTGGGTTTTATTGCCCCATAGTTTGGGTTCTATATCATTAGTAAGTTCTAATGTTTTCTTAAAAATCTTCTACACAGTCATAATTTTTTTCCCCCTTTTGTCAATAGAAGAAGTGTTGTACATGGAATTCTTGCAGAATTGCAGTGCTTTTGAAAGTTATATTGCTTTCCATTCTGTCAGCTCACATGCTCCACAGCTTGGAGATCCATGGATTTTGGTGGAGCTAATACAGAAACAGGGCTCTGCATTTGTGAATCTGATTGTTGGCTTAAAAACCTCCCAGCCAGCTTTGTACTTTGTTAATGTGGATGGTAAAAATAATCTCATCTTTTATGTAATTCTGATCTTACTATTAACATTATTTCAAAGAAAATATATATTCTGCAGCAGCCTGCTAGAATTTGTTTTAATCTTACCAGTTGCTTCATTTTACGAAGCACAGACCAGCTTCTGTTCTTTATCTTTGATAGTCTGCTAACAGGAGCTAATTTTGCAGCCTGCTGGGGCAAATATCAGTAATACAGGTTTTCATAATTTTCGTGTGAATGTATCACTAGTTCTCTATGTGCTTCTTTATTAAAATAAAATATAACAGAAGTTGCCTTTAAAAAAGCCGTCAGTGTAGGTTGAGCCGTAGATGTGGTTGAACAGTGGATGTTGTTTACCTTGACATTAGACAAGCTGACAAAGCATGTGTTAGATGAGCAACAGTGAAACGGATTGAAAACTGGCTGGTCCCAGGGGTTCATGATCAGTGACACAGAGTCCAGCTGGAGGCCAGTCAATGGTGGTGTAGCCAGGGCTCAATGATGGGGCTGACATCTTCATTAATGACCAGGACAATGGGATGGAATCCATCCTCAGCAAGTTCACAAGTCCTAAAAAATAGGGAGATAGGACTGATGTGCCAGATGGGTGTGCCATAATTCAGATGGATCTTGACAGACTCAACAACTGGGCAGAGGGATATCTTGTGAAGTTCAACAAAGAGAAATTTCAGTGTCCTGCATCTGGGATGGAATAAAAAAAAAAAGAAGTATATGCTGGGAACCAACTGGCTGGAAAGCAGCTTTGCTTGAGGTCCTGATGGATATCAAGCTGACCATACACCAGCAATATATTATTGCAGCAAAAAAAGGCTAAGAGTATTCTGGGCTGTAAGTGTTGCCAGCAGGTCAGTGGAGGTCCTTTCTCCCTGCTCGGCTCTGGTGTAGCTGCATCTGAAGTACTGTGTCCAGTTCTGGGCTCTGCAGTGCAAAGAGAGGTGGAGCTACTGGAGCAAGTCCAGTGCCAGGCCAGAAGGATAATTAAGGTACTAGAGCATCTTTCGTATAAGGAGAGGCCAGGAGCTGGGATTCTTCAGCCCACATGAGTGAAGGTTTGGTTATCATCAACATGTGTAAATATCTGATCAGAGTGAATGAAGACAAGGGGGTCAGATTCCACATGGAATTGCTTCTAAACACAAGAAAATGGTTTGTTACTGTGAGGGTAATCGAAGAGTGGAACATGTTACATGAAGAAGTTGTGGATATTCTATCCCTGAGATACTCAAAGTGCAATTATGAAAAAAGGCAGTTATCAGCCTGCTCTTGCTGAATCTACTTGAGCAGATGAACTTGGAGTAGATGATCTCAGGAGGTCTCTTCCAATGTAAAAAAGGATTAAATGCCCATGTTAAACTTCCACTAGTTACTAGAATTTAATGTTCTTAAACTTGTGCTTTTTCTTTCTTTTGGAAGTATGGTACAGTAATACTTTGAGAAGCATTTGATGCCTGAATAGATCTGGATTATTGTATGCATTTAGAAAAGGGTTTTTAAGTAAACATATTTTTTTTTTTTTAGGACAACGATCTTTGACATTGGATGGCATTCTCTGCATTGACTAAATTGTTTTAAAAATTTAGTTGCTAAACTTAGCTTTTATTTCTATGCATATGTTAAACTTCAAGTTCGTGACTTAATACTGTGAGTTTAAGTGTTGGCATATTTTTTTCCTTGTCATTAGGCTACTGTGCTGCTCTTGCAAGATGGGAGATTCACAGTCCTGTGTTGTAAGGGCCAAAATTCCAGTATATCCAATAATTAAGTTATACTGGTTTTAAAAATGCTGTAGAATTAGAGCCCACATCAGTTATCTTAAGAGTTTTTTTTTTTTTCAATTTACTTTCAAAGCAGTAAGTTAAGCTCCAGATCTCTATACAGTGTATCAATTAAAAGTCATTATATTAAGTTCCAGACATGAGAAACTAATACTGTAGATCTTATTTCAGGGGGAATGTAGGCGCATCACTGAATAGAACATAGTGTGTGTAAGGCTTTTGAGCAGAATTTAAGAAGTTTACTGTTCAGGTCACAAAGCAACAGATGAAATTCTGATTGTCAGCATATTTAAAATTTTGCAGAAATGTATTCTCTGCTTTCTTCATACACTTGGAATAGTGAGGATGCTCAGGTTATTCTGCATCAAATCATTAAAGTCTTTGCACATCACTTTTATTGTTATGGATAGTATGAGGGAAAAGAAACAGATATAAGATTTCTGCCTGCCTCACATCTTCCTTGTAGCTAGTACAATTTTGCAGAATTTTTTTCTGCATATTTTAATTTCTTTTCTGAAGGTGGGAAAGACTTGGAACAAATTAGGGTAGCTAATTATAAAAAGTCCCTTTAGGTTGCTTTAGCAAAATTTTAAAGACTCAAATTGGGATACACATTATTGCGTCTTTAATATTTTTCAATATTTGTGATTGATTATACACTGTTGTTAAGAGTTGCTGCTTCAAATGTTGGTATAGGCTGCCCTCCTGGAAGCAGAGATCCCGGGCAAAAGCTGCAGAAGTTTTCAGATGCTGCGTTCAGCCTGGGCAGAGCTAAGAGGCAGGGGAGGGTTAGGGAGTGCGAGAGGGAGACGTTGGTGGAGTTGCACCCCAAGGCAAAGGCAGCAGGTGGAGGCCCCACAAGAAGCAGAGGATCCCCTGCTCTCTTGCTACCAGGCAGAAGGAGGGGACCTGAGAGACAGGGAAAATGGGAACAGGTCCCTGCTTGGAGAGGCAGGCAAACCCTCTCCGCCTCCCTCACCTTCCCACTGGCCCTTACACAACAGGTACATTGTGGAACCTGAGGGCGAGGTGTATGAGGACACGGATGAAAGTCCATCCAGGGGGCTGCCCAGAGTGGGTCAGTCAGCCCCATGCATTAGGACTGCCTCTGTTAGGTAAAAAAGGAGGGAAAGTGTCGTAGACGATTCCCTGCTGAGGGGAAGAGAGGGCCCCATATGCTGGCCGGATCTGTCCCACAGGGAAGTCTGCTGGCTCCCTGGGGCCCGGGTTAGGGACATTCCCAGGCAGCTGGCCACAGCTTGAGTACTGCTTCAGTTTTGGGCACCACAGTATGAGAAAGATGTGGAGGTGCTGGAGCAGGCCCGGAGCAGGGCAGTGAAGCTGCTGAAGGTTCTGGGGAACATGGCTTATGAGGAATGGCTGAGGGAACTGGGATTGCTTAGTCTGGAGAAGAGAAGACTTGGGAGGCCTTATTGCTCTCTACTATTCCCTGAAAGGAGGCTGGAGTGAGGTGGGTGTTGGTCTCTTTTCCCAAATAACTAGCCATAGGTTAGGAGGAAATTCAGTTCACCAGGAGCGGCTTCAGTTGGATATTAGGAGGAACTTCTTTCCTGCAAGAGTGGTGAGGCACTGGACCAGGGTGCCCAGGGAGGTGATGGAGTCACTATCCCTTCAGGGGTTCAAAGAAAGTGTGGACATGGCACTTGAGGACATGGTGTCATGGTAGTGTTGGGTTGATGGTTGGACATGGTGATCTTAGAGGTCTTTTCCAACCTTAATGATTCTATGATTGTATACTTTAGTGGGAAATCATTCTAATTACTCTGCCCACAGTGATATTTAAAAGTAATGTCATCACAGTGGGTGTTAGATTAGATTGCTTATCAGTAGTTGGTTAATTCTAATTAGTTTGATATTTTTTTCCTTTTCCTCATTTGCCCTTCTAGTTGCTGTTCTGCAGTTAAAATAAACTGAGCTAAGCTAAAAATATTAATCATGAGTTTTGCACTTTTCATAAGTTTACTTTTTTCAGTTGTTTTGTGTCTGTAAGGGAAGTGGTGTTTTGTTCTGTCATACCACAATAAAATGGAGAAAGGTTCTGATCTCTTTAAAGTCTTTGCATGCCATTCGTTGGCAAGCGTTATGTTTCATTAATAAATCAGAAATAAATAGTTTTCTCCATCATTTCAGTTCGAGGTGACTCCTTCCATTTTATGTTGGCAGATCCTGTACTGTGCACAGTGTCAGTAGTATCTGGAATGGCACTGTGAGCTAATGGAAGTCTCTCAGTCTTTGCCTTAATCTGAGTGTTCTAAAAAGTTTACTCTCCAAAATCGTTTGTTAAATGGGAAGAGAAGATCGTAGGAAAAAAGGGAAGGGGAAGCTTGGAAAATTAGGGCGCTTCAATGAGATCCCAAGTTAATAGAAATGGTTTTGGGTTTATAAGTCTGTGCATTAATCCTTTATTCCTTTTACATTCTATCAAAAGGTATTGTTTTTATAAGGGAATCGAGAGTATCTAAGTATTGTTGATAGATGTTGATAATGGGACAGTGGATGAAGGTGATACTATTTTGTCATAAGGCTAATAAATTCATTTTTATGCTTCAATTTACTTTTAGTCTCTGATTCACTCAAATTCTGTTGTGGTTATTTTTTCCTCACTCTTGTTTTCTTATCTTTCCCACTCCATAGTACCTGGTTATGGATTACTATGTTGGAGGAGACCTGCTTACATTGCTCAGCAAGTTTGAGGACAGGCTACCTGAAGATATGGCTCGTTTTTATTTGGCTGAAATGGTGATAGCTATTGATTCAGTTCATCAGTTGCATTATGTTCACAGGTAAGTAATTTGAGCTCCAGATTCCTGTTGGGAGTTACAAGGAGTTGCTTGATGGTGTGAAAATAATTCCCATTAAAGAGTTCAAGCTAATAACAAGTATCTGCTGTAATAGGAAGCAGGATAAGAACTGCTGCTACCCTTGTGCCTTATGGTCAGAGACATGAACAAATGTTTGAATGGATCTGATGAATCTTGCACACTGGTGTGTTTCAGACTTAATGATCCATAATTTATAAAAGAAAAACTGGAAACCTGTTTGTGAAACAAGATCGACTTTGAACAGGTTTATTGAAAGGTCAGATTCTGTTTCTTAATTCATTTGTTCAGTTTATACAGAAGATGAAAACACACCTTTGTGTAGTCCACTTTGGATTTTTTTTCACCATTTTCTATTTGACTTAGTGAAATTATCTTTAAGATGAAGTGAGGGCGTTTTGCTAAATAAGTTGAAGTACTTAAATAGTGATACTTATCTTTACCTTGGTATGTTAAGAAAATGGTATATTCTGTTCAAAGGAAAGCATGAAGTCCTGGCTTTCTTGGAGGCCATGATTGAATTTTTTTCTACAAAACTAACAACATCATTTCTTTAATATATCATTCTCTACTGAATTCCATGGTATTTCTTGTATGCAGAAGAAAAGATGAGCTTACAAGAGGCAGAATTTCCAAATGCACTCAATTAGATGTGCTTTGCTCTGACAGAAATCCAGAGGAAAACTCCCTGTTGTTTAAACTGTATCATAAAGTTGGCAGAATGAGCTCATTTGATAAGTCCATCTGTTGCACTTAATTAGTGTCTATACTGGCCATATCTTCTTTTCATGTTCCCACTAGGCTGCTTTACTCCAGAAAAGTGTTTTTTGGTTGGTTGGTGTTTTTTTTTGTTTTTTTTTTTGTTTTTTTTTTGCTTTCCTTACCCAAAAGGTGTATTGTGGTTGGTTTCAGTTTGTTACTGGATTGTGTTTTGATTGTGGCTTTCATGAAAGATCTGTGGCTAGAAGTGCTTTAAGGTGGGGTGGTGCTAAGCTGCAAATTGCTCTCCTGGAATATTCTGAAGTCCACTAGCTTTATTGAAGAGCTGTGTGTACCTGTTAAAAAGAGCTCTTTGTGATAATTCCTTGCAGAAAAACCCAAGCAGAGTATTTTTCTTGAATTTTGAAGATTTCCACTGTGTTACTTCTGAGAAATTGTTTTTTTTTTCAGGTAGGACCTGATGTGGAAGGTTTTTATGTTCAGTTTAATTAGGATCTAGCTTTTCAAATGTGGTCATAAGTGAACTGTTGAGATACCAGGTGAAGAGTACTTCATGTACTACATAAACTGCTGTGTTCTACCCAGTGAGTCTGCATATGGGGTAGTTACTCTTCCCAAAAGAACAGATACCCACCATTTCTATCTTTTTCCTCCAAATACAACAAAAGACATTGTAATTCAGCACTGTTAGTGTATAATACAGAGCAGGTGTGATATTTTTGTCCTCAGTGTCCCCAAGATGAAATAGATGTTGGTGTAAAATTTTGGGTGAAAATTAAGTAGCATTGCAGTTCGAAACAATATACTAGTTATTATGCTTGCATGTTTATTACTATGAATACTGAACACAAAAAAAAAAAAGACCCTTATGCATTCCCAGTCCTTTGCTGTTTGATTTGTGGCTTTGCCAGTGAGGTTCCTGTGTTTATAAAGTTCTAAATGCCACTTTGGCATTTTATCATTAATACTGCTGTAATGCAATGCCTGTTTATAAGGGGATGTTTTGCAAAGATTAAAAATGTAAAGACTGCTTGGGTATACGTTAAATGATCAGCCTTTGAAATGAAACCCGTTCCACTGTTAGTTTTATTAGGATGTTTGCTACTGGTAAAGCAAAAGAAAGGAAAAGAAAACATATCATCTAAATGCCACTAATGCTCTTTTCCTGAAAGTTTTAGCTGTGGTGGCCACATCCTTTTTGGGAGTGAGTTGCACATAGCAAAGGACATGGGAGAAGAAGGAAAATAGTATTAAGAGATGGATAATGTAACAGCTGCAGTAGTGATATTTCAGATGAGTAGTCAATATGCATCAGGCTTTGATCCGAGTTGTAGCTAGTGAACTAGAAACCATGCTTCAGGCATGCTTCATTCAAGGGCTTTTTCATACAGTGAGATACCAGATTGTTTTGTTTTGTTTCCTTTTAGTGCCCCAGTTCTTTCAGGATAGATTTTCACATTAACCATAGGTAATGTTGTGCTTTGACACAAAAAGAACTTCCTTTCTTTGTCTGAATGTTTTTGTAACTTTTAAAAATTGTATTTCTATTTTGATTCTGAGTGTGTCACTTCTCCTGCTCTTTTCTGTTGTTAATCACTTTTTTATTGGCAGTTAGTTTTGTTTGGGAGTGATATTGATTGCAGTGGTAGTCTGTGCACAGACCACTCTGATGTCTAATGCAAGTCATTTTTCTTTCCTAAAGTACGTTGCTCAAGGTTCTGAAGCATCAAATACAAGCATCATCAGGATTAGTTATATGAAATTGCTGCGACTGTATTTCAGGTTTTTGCGTTCCAAATTTGAAAGCCATTTCTGCAGTAGCATTGTGGGATTATGGTATGAATTCATAGTGAGAAGGAGATCAGAATCTAGGTATTATAAGAATTGTGCAGAGAAGTTGCATGATGTTTTCAGAGCTCTCTCCTGATACCTGCTGAATTAAAGGAGAAGAATTACTAGCTGAAAATAACATGGGTACTACTATTTCTAGGATATTCTAGATTTTTTTTTTTTCTGTTTTTATCCACATTTTAATTTAAATAAATGTGATATAATGTTTTTAGATCATAAACCAGAATATAAGACTTTGAGAATTTTTCTTTTCTGATGTGTTAATTTCTGTGAACAAATCATGTGGTATTTTACCCAATAGTTAATGGATGGCTCAGAATGTTAATGAAATGGCTTTAATATGTATCTTAGAAAACTACATGTAAACTAAGTATATGTGCAGGTGTTTACAATGAGGAGGAAAGTACCTATGTGTGTATCTCACAAATGTAAGACTTCCTTGGGAGTTCATGTAAGGCTTATACCTACCCTGATACCTTAAATTACTGACTTGTACTAATGAAGTGGTGCTTGCTTGTAGGCCAAGGTTAAATATTGTCTTGTGCCAGTTTTCTGCAAACTATGGTATTATATGGGCTAAGATTCTGCGTTTATTAGGAATCAGTGTCAATCTGTGCTTTTTTTTATGGATTTGTATAATCCTTTTACTTTTTTTTTTTTGGCTGAAAAAGCCTCTACATGCATTAATATTAATTTCAGTTTTGAGGTTGTGTTATTACTTTATTCATCCTGGCATGTGTTAAAAGCTTCTATTTGTATGTGTTATCAAATATACAGCTGTGGTCTGGAGTAAAACTCATACCAATTTAAGCTAGGGAGCTACACCTTATTTGTGCATGCTGCTTTACCTCAAACGTAAAATCTGGGGTTTCCTACAACTGATACTAACTCCTTAATTATTTTATTGGCTGTTCTCTCTGTTTTATGTAAGGTGGAAACTGAGACTGAAATGCATGGCTTTCTCTAAATCCTTTCAGGTAAAAAAGACTAGAAGGTCTGGCTGGCACTGGAGGACATTTCCCATGAGGGCTGCAGAAGGTGCCTTCTGGGCATGTACAAGTCCTAGGCACAGTGAGCATGCCACTGGTAGCTTGCACACCCCATCAGTCTGTCTGTGCTGCTGCCTTTTGTGCTGTCTTCTGAGTCTGTCTCTGTCCTAAATTGAATTTGGGACATTCCACCTTCTTGAACAGTGCAGAATTGTAAGTGTTAATGTGCTTAAGAGATTTTCATCTTGACTTTCTTTCCTCCGCCTATTTGTTCTGTGCAGGGGTGATTCAGTGCAGAGTGAACTTGGAGCTTAGGGAGCATTCAGCATTTAGGCTCATGATCCTCCAGATCACTGCAAAAATATTAAATTAAAATAGTTTTCATATATTGGCACACACCCACATTAAACAGTCTTCTTTTTCTATTAATCGGTAAAACAATCCTCACCTACCTCCTTACAAAGAAAATATTTTGGAAGGATTATGAAACACCTATGTTAATTATTATTTTTGTTGGTTAAGTTTATGGGAGGATAGTTAAGACTACAGGGCAAGCTCTCAAGTTACCTACATTTCAGATGTTGTCTTTTGCATGTGAAAAGATAGGCAGGAAAAGCATATAAACACACCTACTTCCCTAAGGTATGTGAGATTAAGGTTGGCTTAATCAATGTGCTTCTGGATTTCTAGTTGCTATGGTCTCTTAGTTTGAAGGATTTTAGTATTCTAAACCACCAGATGCATTTTTATTCTTCTCTTTCCGTTTTCTCTATCAGCTCCTGAAATTTGAGTTGGACTTCACTGGAGCATTTGAGTTCTTGAAATGTAGAGCAGCAGAATTCCCTGTGGAAGTGACATTCTTTCTGAGAAATATTGAACAGAAGGGAATAAATCTGTTAGAGGGATAAAAGAACTGTCTATTCCTTATCAAGCCAGCCTCTTCTTTGCTTTTAACGAGAAGGTACTATTTGTCCTCAGTAAAAATCATCTTGGGGACATCGCTGAAGTATTTACTGTAGTTAGCAGGCAGCTGAAATCTGGGATACTTTGTAGGATGCCTTTCACTTTCAACTATAAGTTTCAGTGCCAGCATATCCATTTTTGACTTGCTGAGTAAGTGGTTTTCTGTCTTCTGGGTGTATCCCATCTTTCCTGATCATTAATTTGCTTAAGTGGAAAATTCAGGGGTGGAAGGCCCATCTGGGGAGTTAGCTGCACTGCGCGGTGTGTCTGAGCTGAGTTGGCACAAGGATGAGCCAAGTGCCTTGGCCTTTGGTAAAGTGAACAGTAATTGTGGGTTTGAAAGAAAGCAACAACATATTTCAAGTGTTTACCAAACTTTGCAACAGACATAATGTCAAACACACACATGAAGATGTCCTTACAAAGTGCTGAGAGTGAAGG